TTGGTTCAAGCGCTGGAAGAGAGTTCGAAGATGCTCGAGGTGCTCTTGTTCCGATGAACTGGCTACTAAAATCTCATCGAGGTAGGAATAGGCGAAGTCAAAGTCACGAGTAACATCGTGGATGCAGCATTGGAAGGTTTGTGCGGCGTTGCACAGTACAAATGACATCTTAAAAATTCAAACAAACCGAAAGGAGTGATGACAGTTGTTTTAGGAATGCCATGGTCTTCCACAGGTATCTGGTGATAGGCGCGAACCAGATCGATCTTGCTGAAGCTCGTCTTGCCTGCGAGGCATGCGGTAAGGTCTTGCGGGTGTGGGATGGAATACCCATCTGGGACGGTTAGGCGATTGATTGCGCGGTAATCACCGCAAGGGCGCCAGTCACCAGATTTGTTTGGGACCATCTGCAGGGGCGAGGACCAAGGGCTGTCGGAAGGGCGGATTATTCCAAGTTCAAGCATGTGCTCAAACTCCGCCCTAGCTACCTTTTGTTTCTCAGGCGATAGTCGGCGTGGGCGGCATGACACAGGTGGGCCGTTCGTCCGTATGTGGTGCGTGACTTGAGCTGCCACGGGTAGAGCTGCGGTCATTGGCTGAACAAGCTTGGGATACTGAGAAAAGAGATTAGCGTAGTCTGGCGAGGTCTGGGGAAATGCATAGACCGGGGATATGGATGAGACATCGGCGGTTATGCCACGTACAAGGAGTTTTGTTGCAGCATCGACTAGCATCTGGCGTTTCGCATTGACCAAGAGGTCAAAATGCCTGAGCAAGTCAATGCCGATGTTGGTAAACGGGACTGTAGCGACAGTGAATACCCAGCGGAACGTGCGCCGAAGACATAGGTCCAGGGTAAGCGACCGATGACCGTAGGTGGCTATTGGCGTGCTATTGGCGGCAATGAGGCTTGTCGACAGAGAAGTGGTAGGCTCACCTGGCATAGGGGGAATGTCGCTGACTTCCGCCCCGGTATCAACTAAGAACTGGGTATCGGTGTCATAATCCCTAATGTAGATGAGACGACTTTGGCCTTTGCCGACGTTCGTGCCCATTACAGTCGGGCGTGGCGGATCAGCTATAGCGGAGTAGCTACATGGCTGTACGCACTAACGGGCTATAGTACGGAAACGCGAGTGGTACAAACAGTAACCTGCGGCATCAGGTCGTGTGCGACGGGGCGATGATCCGGAGCGGTTGCAGTGCATACGGTTTAAGTGAGTTCCTTGATCTGGCGCTGCAGCGTCACTATCTGCAATGATAATGCGTCTATTGTCGACGGCAGGTTAGTCGCGTTTGTCGTTGTGGTTGCGCCAGCGCAAAGCTGCTTAGGTGCTTTGGTTTCAGTCTGTGGCTGGTACCGTTCGATGACGCGGTCTGCTAGGTCTGCAATTGCTGTGAGGGGCAAGTCCGTTGCTACTGCAAGGATAGCATGTGTGCTTTCAGGAAGGCGTTGCATCCACAGCTCGCGGAGAATCCCTACGTCCAGGTTGGACGTGCCGATGCGTGGTTGCATTTCGTGCAACAAGGCTGGGGGCCTCGTATATCGTAGCTGCAGTTTACTAAATAGTTGCTGCAGATGGACCTTGTCAGAAGGCGTGCTTCGCTGAATAATAGCCTGTTTACGAGTCTCGTATTTCATTACTACAGGGGGGCAAAGTATGATGCCTCTCACCTGCGAGGATATATTCTGAGGAAAGCAAGATATTAGCTGGTTATACATGGCGAAATCAGAAGTAATCTTACGAATATAAAAAACGTATTCTAAATGTAAAAACGATAGTAAAGGGTCATTCTCCCAAAGAGTGGGAGGGGCTAAGGCAACAGAATTGACCATGACAGGCTGAACGGCGTTAACCGCGTGTAGGGACAGCTTATCCTTTAAATGCTCCATTGCAAAAAGCAGTTAAAAATGTGGTAGGTGAGGAAACAATATGAGCACAAGTAATGAATCACAAAAACACTGGAATGAGCTCACCAGAATGAAAACGCAAAATGGTGGGCGGCGTGTTCCTGACAGGGGGTCACCAATTGTTTGGCGGAGCCTGGGATACTAGTCGGTAAGCAGTGACAAGTGAGACGTGTCAAATACGACAGTATAGAAGTCGGAGGCGACTGAACCCGACGTATATTGTGCAGGCTACAAGAATAGGAAGCGAATCGGACAGAGCGAGAGAGGTGCAGCGAGGTACTCACCAAAACGGTTTGTGTCAACAGACGTGCAGTCAATAAAACAAGTGGACGATTCGAAGGTTAAAACAACCGTAAAATCCAATGTTACAAAATACTGAATGAGCTTGTTTTCCGGTACACTACAAGATACAACAACACGACCAGTTCCGTTTCATTCTTCGGCATGCTTTTAGTTATTACACGTTGCGGATTCCCTGTTTCCCTGTTGCAGCAAATGATATTTTATACGAATTCATCACCAATGCACAATCACAGCAGACTATGCGAGGGAAGTCTGAAGTATGCATTTTCTACAGCGTTTTAGCACATTTTCATTCATAGGATACTTAAAATACGCTTACGTACATTAGACGACTAACATCTTTCGCCGTTTAACAAGCCCTTGAAATATCGGTATTTGGCTGCACTTACTCAGGGTAGAAGTTTCAGGGACATGTTACCATGGTTACAGTAAACTATTTTATTGCAAAGGTTACATTATTGTAACATTTACAAACCTACTCAATGCATTAAGTTTGATTATTGAAACCTAAATAATTAATTCCTAAGTCTCGCGATTGTCTCCTTGATGTCCGCTGTTCCATTTCACATTGGCTCATAACCAAATTTCCGCCACTGGTTAGAGCCCAGCTCCCGTAACCGTATTCACGTGCCTTCTACTCGGCTACAAGTGGTTGATAGCTTTTAAGCACAATAAAACACAGTTGCAAAGGTACATAAGACTAGGGTGCTAGAGTCTAGAGGTCACTTGTTTCACTCCAGTCCAGCTAATCAGCAAACTTGACCGTCTCTAAAGTACCCTGCTGGGTTTGCTACTACTGGGCAGCGCTGTTGCTCCTCCGTCTCCCTACCTAGAGCGTCAACGGTGTCGTTTTATAGCTAGGTAACAGGGAATCTTTTACTGTAACAATAAAAGTTTCCCAGCAAACCGATCTGCTTTTTGAATGGCTCTCCGGGCTCCCGGTACAGGCTACCCGCTAAATCGGTGACCCCGACTCTGTAAGCATCTCGTTGCCGGATATTTCGAACTTCTCTTCGGTGAGCTCGTTCCAATTATTTTTCATACTTTCCAGTTTATTTTTGCATACAGTGGACTATTTTTTCATCATTTTTGAGCCATGGCATTTGTAGATCCTAAGGTAGCGTCTCTCAGCGTTGCATCCCTTTCTGCGTCACATTTTTGGGGCATGGATCCACTTTTGTGGTTTCCGCACCTTGAGGCCGTTTTATAACCACAGAATTACTTCCGATTACGTAAAGTATAGCAAACAAATGTCCTATCTTCGCAAGGAGATATCAACGCAGGTTCGTGACGTTATAAGCTCCCAGACCGAAAACCGCTATGAGACTCATAAGGAGGCCACGATTAAGCTTGGCTTGCCCTGTGAGAAAGTTCGCATGGAGCAGTTTTACAGCGTCCTGCAGCTGGGCGACAAACTGCCCTCAACCATGCCATGAGAGATGTAGCAACTGCTCGGTTCCGCAACCATGGACGAGGCCTTACTTCGTCAACTATGGCTGTAGTAGCTACTGGAAAACAGTCAAGCGATCCTTGCTATCGTGAGCTCCGCTTCACTCAACCAACTAGCAGATTTAGCCGATCGAGTTAATGAGCGATCGCAGCCACAAGCCGACGCCAGCAAGATCAACGCCGTCGCGTCCCAGCGCCCTTCTATCACTGGCTTACAGTCAACTATAGAAGCCCTGCAAACCCAAGTTGCGACACTTAGTCGCCAGGTTCAACAGCTTGGTATGAACCGTCGTCGTCATAGCCGAGCAAAATCACGCTTCAAGCCTTCCAAGTACAGCAACAGGTAGACTAGCAGTCGGTATCAGCAACGCTTTGGCACCGCAGCTTGTAGATGTATCAAGCCCTGCAAATTTACCGTGAAACAAGGAAACTTCTCGGCCGGTCCGTAACGGCGGCGGACGCGACCGGCCAACACCATCCGTATCATCCGCGTTGGAGTTTTGACTTCTGGCACCGAGTTTCTAGTCGACACTAGAGCCGAAGGCATTGTTCAACCCCGCCGCTCCGATGAGGTCGTTTCACGCTCGCCGACCAAGCTGCATGCCCATAATGCCATGCCAATTGCAACTCGGCGAAAGGTTGCTAATGCTCAATTTAGGCCTTCGGCGAACTTTTCGCTGACGTTGCATCGTAGCAGCCGTGCCTTTCGCCATCCTAGCCATAGAAATTCTTCAACGCTTCGACCTCATCGTCGACGCTAAAAGGAAGAAGCGTATCGACCCTAGAACACAGCTCAGGATTATTGGGACTAGATGCAAGTTGGCTGTTAGTACTCCCATTCGTGTCTTACCTCAAGCTTCACAACCTTTTATCGAGCATTTCAACAGGCATACTAAGCTCGTTCGCGTTCTGAACGACCTGCCTCCTGTGACTACAGACGTCATGCATCACCTTTGCACTAAAGATCCACCTGTTTCTTTACACCCTCGCAAACTAGCCCCGGGCAAGCTCAGAGCAACCAAGGCGGAATTTGAGCAAACGCTGGGACTAAGAATAATCCGCCCGCCCAAAAGTCCATGTGCATCACCATTACTCATTGTGCCGAAGAAAGCCGGTGACTGGCGCTCCCTGTGGTTACTACAGTGCACTTCACAAAGTTGCCGTCCTGGATAAATACTTCATTCCGCACATGCACTACTTAACCTCAGCTCCAGCTTGTACGTCTATCTTTAGCAAAGTCGACCTACTTCGCGCCTTCCATCAGACACCCGTGGTGTCAGACAACATTGTTAAAGCAGCAGTCATCGCGTCATTCGTCCTATTCGAATAACTCAGAATGCCTTTCGGCCCCAGCGATGCTGCTCAAACTTTTCAGCGTTTCATTTATGAGGTAACGCGAAGACGATGCGTTTACCCTTTTCTAGATGACATTCTTATCGCCAGCCCATCTGACATGGAATACCTTCATCACATCGACGCTCTCTTTCAACGCTTAAGACAACATTGGGTTACCGTCAACCCCGATAAATGCGAGCTTGGCAAAAGCTCCATCGACTTGCTTGGCAACCGAATATCCGCCTCTGGTATTGAAGCTCTGCCAGAGAAATTCCAGGCACTGAAAGACTATCCTGCTCCTAGTCTCTTCAAACAGTTACGCCGCTTCCTTGGTCTGGTTAACTATTATTGACGCCTTATTACTAACTGCGCAAGCCTTGTTCAAATAATGACTGACTTTCTCCGCGAAAAACAACGCACTTTTCATTTCGCAGACGACGCTAGGCTGTCTTTTGAGAAGCTCAAAAACGCTATCTCCAACTTAAGGCTTCTCGCCTACCCAGTCACATCTGCACCACTATCCGTGACAACTGAGGCACCCGAAACCGCCGTCGGTGCAGTTCTTCAACAACTCGTCGACCGTAGGTGGATACCTCTAGTTTTCTCGAAACGTTCACAACCTGCCGAAACGCCTTACAGCGCCTTCGGTAGGGAACTGTTAGCTATCTATATAGGTATCAGACATTTCTGTCACTATCCCAAATGTCGGTATTTTACAAGCTTTACTGACCACAGGCCGTTGATCTACGCAAGCAATGGCTCAACGGACAAGTATTCTCCGCGAGAAACTAGACACCTAGTATACGGTTGTCAGTTTAAGGCAGACGTACGACATGTCTCAGGTGCTCTCAATCCCGTCGCAGATGCACTTTCACGCATTCAGCAGATCAGCTTATCGCCTGGCACCAACATTGACCTAGCCGCCATGGCTGCGGCCCAACAAGCTGATCCCGACATAGACAAGCAACGACGCAGCACCTCTTTAAAACTACGCAAAGTTCCGTTAGCTTCATCCGAAGGGACCATTCTTTAGGGTGCCGCACAAACTTCTCCCCAACCCGTTGTTCCTCCTTCGATGCGTCGACTAGTTTTTAACGCTTTACACAATTTGTCTCATGCCGGCACACGTGCTTCGCAGAAGCTCGTAACTAAACGCTTCGTATGGCTCAGCGTCCACCGCAATGTCCGCCTTTGGGCAAGCGCACGTTTAGAGTTGCAGCGCGCCGAGGTATACAGCCACACCAAAAGCCAACTTGGCGTCTCTCCCGATCCTGACTCTTGTTTTACACACATCCATATCGACCTGGTCGGACCTTTGCTCCTGTGCAAAGGTTATGTATACCTCCTGTCCTATGCCGACCGATTCATTCGTTGGCCAGAAGCGATTCCAATGGTCAACGGCTCATCTGAAACAGTTGCACAAGCCTTCCAAGAACGCTGGGTAGCCCAATTTGGTTGCATAAACGCAGTCAGCACTGACAGTGGAGCACACTTTGATGGATCTTTCAACAAAGTTCTCGACGTTCTTGGTTGCCAACACCACCGAACCACCGCATACCACGCCGCAGCTACTGGGGTGGTAGAAAGGTTCCACAGGCAACACAAAGCAGCACTCTGTGCCCAGTTTAGCATATCCTGGCACAAAGCACTTCCACTCGTTCTCTTAGGCATAAAAAGCACGAGTAAGGCGGATTTGCACGCCACTCCGTCTTCGCTAATCTTTGGATGCACACAACGCTTACCTGGTGAACTCGTCTCACTAAAAGCGCCAACGACCTTCGACTATGGCGACTACGCTGCTCCCCTATCTCATCACGTGCGACGGCTACAGCCTGTGCAACCCAGAGCACACAGCTTGCGTACCAACGTGGACGAACGCTTAACTACCTGCACGCACGTATTCCTTCGCACTGATTACGTACGCCGGCCACTCCAACCTCCTCATTCTGGCCCGTAGTGTGTCGTACGCAGAAACGACGAGCCGTTTACCATTGACTACAATGGCAAGTCTGAGACGATCAACCTTCATCGACTCAAGCCAGCATTCCTCGACAAGTCTGACTCTTCGGTGCAACAAGCACCCTCGCAGCCTGCGCCAGCACAGCTCGCACCGCAACCTCAGACGAGCCAGTTGGCTCCAGCAGAACCGACAACCTTCTACTCACCCTACTATCAATCGACGAGGTAGACAGCTCCAACCTCCTGTTCGTTTTTCGGACTTTACAAGCACTTACTATTTTACATAGGACGTGCCTCTGAAATTTTCTGCTCTTACCAAATATTTTCCAAATCCACAAAATAGGCCAAAACGTTTTGAAACTACAAAAAGAATAAAACTAGTTGAAAGCCCAAAATAGCTTTCCACTTTTTGTTTGCACTGCCCTCTTTTGTGTATTGCTATGCATTTACGCTTTTTTGCATTACATATACACGGTCGGTTGGTTGCACCTCGCTTTCACTTTTCGCTTGATCCCCACACGTCAACTGAAAGTGAAACAAACTTCCTGTTCAACCACTTGTGGGAATTTTACTAATTGTCCCCCATAAACAGTTTTTTACCTTTTTGACACCGTAGGTGGACAGGGGTGGGAGCCCGCTAGGGTCCGATTGCATGGTTCTCCCCCAGCAGCTGCATCAGGTTTCACAACCTGGTCTCGCAGAAGGCTGGCCCGCGACGGACAGTCCACACGCAGATCGAAGGACTGCTTACACAATCCCTTCTGGGGGAGGGCTATATGGCAGTCATGAGAGTCCCCGGTTTGCCTGTGTAAAATTCTAACTGAAATTATCACATTGTACATTTACGCAACATGTGGTGTTGGTTGTACTGATTGCTGAATACGGAAGCTTGACTTGCGCTCGTTTCGGTTGCAAGGCGCGACTACCCTCTGTGCTGTTGATTCTCCGTTCCCTTAGCTAGAGCGTCAGCGGTGTCTTTTTTGTAGCTAAGTAACAGGGAATCTTCTACTGCACCAATAAAAGTTTCCCTGCAACCCGATCTGTCTTTTCGAATCGTTATCCGGTCTCCCGGTACAGGCTACCCGCTAAACTATGTAGTATTGGGCGGCTGGTCGAGATAGGGCCATGTAACTAACATGTCAATTGCAAAGAGCAGAACGTAGGTAGAAAAGGTGATAGTGGCAGTCTCGCATAGTCTGGCCAGTTATGCCATGGAGCTAGCATAGTTAGGTGAATAGCGGACGAGTAATATTACGAGGAGGAAGAGGCCGTAGTTCACCGTCGGGGTATGTCACCGTACTAGATGCTAGTTGAGAACGTAGCCGAGGTATCATAGGTTACGATGAGTACAACAGGGTTTTGGGCAACACTTAAAACTAAGCGAGAAATGCAACCAAGTTGGGTAAGCCCAATAAAACGTACGTTAAATGCGGCTCCTCCGTCTTAGACAAGTGCAATACAGATACTACTTTGCATCAAGTCAGTAGTTAATCATTATAGCTGAAAATGTACCCAAGTGCGACGTGCATGAGCGACTGAATAAGGATGACACAAAGAAGGTGGCGGAGATGGTGTAGGCAACTTTTTAACTTAACAGGGAAATAATGCGTACAGCTGTTAAAGTCAGCGGATGAAGAACGGAATTATAGCTGTGCCCATTTTAACGAAGTAGTTACAGCAAAGTGGGACAGTGATGACTTATCGTTAGTGTGTGTGCCGAAGATGCTACCTTCTATATTAACCGCAGGCCATCCGTGTCGGAAGGTAAGCCAGAGCCGGACCGATCGTCTCTTGTCCGAGGTATGTGGAACCACAAGTTGGTCAGTCGTGTGTTACTATTTTTTGTCACATTGGTTTCCCGTTCTGGGCGGTAGCACATCTCAACCGATTCAGCAGTGTCGAGAATGCTACCTGTGTGCAAGCCTTTCGAGGTAGATATCACATCGTGTCGCGGCAGTCCATGAAGAAATTTAGGACGTTTAATATGGAAGCAAGGGTTGGTAGCTCAGGTTGTTCAGTTAGTGGCTTGAGTGTTTGCTGAGCTCGGCAGGTTGGCTGCAAAACTCAGCAAAAACGCAGATCAACAACGGATGACTTGTCTGGATCTCAGTGCGTGTGTGCCTAAAGGCGACAGCTGTACAAGGGAGCGTACGGAGGCACTTTGCCGGGCTACACTGACATCATATTGCAACCCGCAATAAGTCACGTTGTCACCGAAGTGAAATTTAATATGATCCTGCTGCCAAATTGAAACGTAACGAGACACGAGCAAATGTTAGCGCTGCCTGTAATTTGGGCCAGCGTCAGTTACATCTCGAGCCATCAGCTAATGGTGTCACGCGTGTGAAAACGATACTAGTCTGTCAAGCTGAAATGTGGTACCTACAAGTGCATCTACATGGCCTTGTAGTGGTTATTAATCATTCACATTCTGTCTTTAGTCTCGTCACTTTTATCATGACATTTTTACCGTTTGTTTGAAGTAATGCTTATAATATACTTCTTCGTTCTCCGCGTTCCGACGTGCTGATTTTTGACAGTGCTGCTTCTGCGCGCGTACGTGCCGTCCAGCCTGCTTGCGCACCGGATAGTAGACTCGGAATTACTATAGAACGGCAAGTGCCATTGTGCTCAACGTGTGCCACATGTATAGCTTAACCTACGATCCGAACTCAATTGTGCTCAGACTGCGAGTAGACCAACTCCAACTTTGTGCGTTTACTGAGTGACTGAAACCTTCCTAGATTTCTTTTGACCGGTACATAAAATAGTGACCTCTCCTGAAGCTTTTGAAGAAGTATAGTATTTCTTAGTCATGTCTGACTAGATCTTATGTGTTTTACGGACAATTTCGTCGAACTCTCGCTTCCTACCTTTGACATCTCTAAGCCACGTGTATGGTTTATTCAGGTAGAAGCTAATTTCCGATGTCGTAAGATCACTTCACGATCTTATATGTTCGCCTACGTCGTCTCGCGCTTACCTGTCTCCGTTGCCCCTGAAGTCAATGATATCCTTGATCTTATGCCCGTAGAAGCGCCGTATGATAACATTAAAGCAGCTATCCTTAAACCTACCGCTACGTCTGATGAGGCTCGTCTGAAAAGGTTACTTCCCGGTGTCGAGCTTGGCGATCGCACCCCATCTCAGCTTCTTAGACACCTGAGTTCCCTGGTTGGTTCGTCGAAAATTCACAGCTCCGTACTCAGCCAACTTTGCACGAAATGTCTTCCGGCAAACATCACAGCGATTTTATCGGGCCTTAGCGACGATGTCACTCTGGAAAAGCTAGCAGATGATGCGGACAAAACGCTTCAATGTTTCTTTAAGTATACTCTTAATCATGCAGCTGAGTCAAAAACAGCCAGCTCATCCCATAGCACTGCGCTTGATCCGATCAACGATAGAATCTCCCGTCTAAAACTCATCATGTCTGCTATTCGACGTGAACGCACTACCAACAGGAACCGTCCTCGTGGTCCGCGCCGCAGTACATCACGCTCACGTCAGCGGTCCTACTGATACTTCCACTGTCGCTTCGGTAAAGCAGCACGTAACTATCGCCCGGGCTGCAAATATTCGAAAGGAACACCGATTTCGAAACCCGGAAACATCAAAGCCAGCCAGTAATGGCGACGGCGGTCATTGGCCAAATCCTCAAGCGCCTTCTGTACGTGTTCGACTCCACGAATAAACTTCGGTTTTTGGTCTATACGGGCGCAGAACTCAGTGTTATACCACGAGGTTTAGAAAAAACGCTTTGCAACAGCCGGGCTTACCTTAGAGGCGGTTAACCTGACAGCTCAGGACATAGGGCCAGGAGCTTTTGAACCTAAGCCTTGGTTTACGACGCGAAGTTCCTTTTATCTTTTCGATCGCAGATGTCCAGAAAACCATAATTGGCATCGACTTCTTTAGCAAATTCGTCCACGCTGTCGACCTTTACAGGAAGTTACGGGACGGCAGCACTTCGCTCACTGTCCCTTGCCATCTCTCCCCAGTCTTTTCCGTCATACTTCGCCTACTCATGCGCGACATTACTCCGCGCTTATTATTGCTTCAGCAATTCCCGTCTGGCCCGTTCTAATACGAATCTACTGAGCCTAAACACGTGCCTCGTCATCATATCGTTAACACAGGTCCACCCGTGTCAGCCAAACCGTCTGCAACTTCCACCTCACAAACTCTAAGCGGTTAAACGTGAATTCAAACACATGATCAACCTCGGTAACATTCGCTTATCCAACAGTTGTTGGGCCTCTCCGCTTCATCTTGTAATCAAAAATTCCTGTGCTTGTCTTCCATGCGGTGGTTACCGAACACTCAACGCCGGTACCATCCGCGACAGATACCCTATCACTAATATGCATGATATCTCAGTAGGACTGTCTTGGAAATCCGTCTTTTCCAAGATTCACCTTGTGCGAGCGTACCAGCAAATTCTAATGGCACCTAAAGACATTGCTAAAACGGCCGTTGGCAGACGTTTCGGTTGGTACGAGTTCATTCGCATGCCTTTTGGCCTTCGTAATGCAACACAGTCATTGCAGCGCTTCATGGGCCTGGTCCACCGTTGTCTTGGCATTGTTGTTCTACCTTGACGACATCGAAACAGCCAGAGCTACGCCAGAAGAGCACTAGCATCAGCTTCGGCAAGTATTTGAACGCTCCAATCATCACGCGATAACCCATAACCATGATAAACGTCTATTTGTTCAACCTAGCGTCGATTTCATTGGTCCCAAAATTGTCAGCAAAGGCAGTAGTGTCAACCCTGAGAAACCACAGGCAATCATGGACTAGCCACTGCCTTACTCCGTTAAAAACCTGCGCCACTTCCTTGGCATGGTTAATGATTACGGAAACTTCAGTGACAATTTTGCCGTCCGTTCTTTTGCCCTTGACTGATTTACCTAAAGACAATCCAAAAAGTTTCATCGTTACTCCATAAGTGGAAACAGATTTTGTTGCCATTAAGCAGAATTTGAGCCAGCTATC